TGCCTAATAACAGAGAACAAGTACTAAAATGTTCCTCTTCCCTTAGACGTAATTTGCAGAGAACGACAGAGATGAGAGATCACTTCTTTTCTTTTAAGGAGAAACTCTTTGAGAACGGTCATGCAGAGTTAGCTCCCACTCTTAAAAACTCTGAGGAGTGCTGGTACCTACCAATATTTGGAGTATATCATACTAAGAAACCGGGTCAGATTAGAGTAGTGTTTGACTCTAAGTGCCAAATTTGAAGGGGTCTCTTTAAATGATGTGCTCTTGACAGGTCCAGACCTCAGCAACAAACTCCTGGGAGTACTTTTACACTTTTGCAAAGACTCCATTGCTTCATAGCTGACATCCAACAGATGTTCCATTGCTTCCTTGTCAGGGAGGAAGACAGAAACGTCTTGAGATTTCCTTGGTTCAGTGATTATGATTCCTTTAAGGATATAATAGAGTACCGCATGAGAGTACACATCTTTGGCAACATCCTTTCTCCTGCGGTTGCTATCTATGGACTCAGACATTCTGCTCAAGAAGGTGAGCCTGAGTATAGCCCAGATGTTAGACGATTCATAGAAAAGGGCTTCTATGTAGATGACTGTTTAAAATCTTTACCTTCCAATGAGTCTGCAATCAGTCTTCTAAAAAGAGCTCAGGGAATGCTCGCCTGCTCCAATCTCAGGCTTCACAAGATTGCTTCCAACAGTAAAGAAGTAATGAAAGCTTTCCCTTCCAAGACCACTCTAATGATCTAAGAGACTTAGACTTAGCTGCAGACTCTTCACCTGTACAACGCAGTCTTGGTTTACTCTGGAACTTGAAATCCGACTCCTTTTCCTTTTACTCGCAGAGGTCTTTTGTCTTCAATCAATAGCTTGTATAATCCATTAGGTTTTGCAGCAACTGTTACAATTCAAGGTAAAGCTATACTCAGAGACATAACACGTGAAACATCCAAGTGGGATGCCCCACTGCCCATCGATAAAAGGAACTCTTGGATAGAGTGGAGAAACTCTCTAACAGTTTTATCTGACCTCCATATATCACGCTGTATGCTCCCTCACCCTCTACTGAAGTACAAAGCCAGAAACTTTGCATATTCTCTGATGCTTCTGTCAAAGCAATAGGTACCGTTGCTTACTTAAAAATTGTAGACAGTGGGGGCGTGTCCAAGATGGCGCCGGGAGCAGATATGCTTTCCTGAGCTCCGGCACCCTGATCTCCCATCCGCTGCCATCCAAGGAACAGCGGCCATCCAGAGCAGATCCCCGGCTGCCCAGACCTTTCCTGACACCTGAGGAGGGGTGTCGAGCTACTCTGCCCCTTCTCCGAGCATCTGGGGCGCGGGACGCTCTGAGGCCTACCGCGGCGTGTGAAGCCGCGGTGTATCCTGAATCCGCGGCCGGAGCGGATCGCCGCCGCGGCCGGATCGCCGCATCGTCGCACCACCGCCCTGCCCGGCCGACTCTGGAGACAGGTTAGCTGCAGGGACAGGCTGGGTGGGTCCCTTTAATCCTCCTGGTGGCACTGTGGCTTACATCACATCCCTGCAGGATCCCTGTGAGCTACTGGGGATCAGTGTGGATGCAGGGGTAGTGCTGGATGGGGGAAGAAGTTTTCTAATGACCCCCTTCCTCAAGTGGATAAATCAGGGGTGTCTGGGACATATTTTGGAAGCCTATACACAGCCTGCATACTTGGCCAAGTTAACATAACCATAACTATCTACTTTTCAACTGGCCGCAGTGTTATGTTGAGCCTTCTGTGAACACCTCCCCGGTGGGGGACACGTACACGAGCCAGGAGGAAAATGCCAGAGTGACCTTCCTGTGCCGTACCACCGAAACATTTCTCTCGGCCATTGGGCTTTTACACCCTAGCGTATCACCTCAATAGTCTTAGGGGATTTTGGAATCCTGTGGACCACCCCCGACAATGCACCGCACTCCCCGCACTAAACCTAAACAGCAATCCCCTCCGCAGGGCCACATCGCTACGCTGATACCTAACCCGCCTGAGCCTGATGACAACACCCAGCTTCCAGGTGACCCTGAGTCTGATGGCGATAGTCAACAGCAATTTCCATCGGGGATGGCTGATTCTCTTGAACACAATCCCGAAGCCTTGCTACACAAATTCCGTGCTATAGTGCGAGAGGAGATTACAGCTGCCTCACGTAAATTATCTTCTGATCTGGCGAGAGGCCTAAAGGAGCTGGGCCTTCACGCTCACCAATTGGAGCAACGTATGGATCTGGCGACTACAGTTTTGGAGGGTCATGAAAGGGAAGTGGAGGATCTACATGCTGAGCTGGACACTTTAAAAGATAAGTTGGAGGATGCTGAGAATAGAGCACGCAGGGATAATCTCCGCATCCGCGGAATCCCCGAGGCAATCACCGATTTGCAGGGCACTGCTACTGCTCTTTTCCAGGAGTTGGCCCCTGAGATTCCCATAGAACGTCTGGAGTTTGACCGTATCCATAGAACTCTAGCACCCAAGCCCACGGAGGGTCCTCCCAGAGACATTATTATTAAATTCCACTTTTATCGTACTAAAGAACGTCTACTGCAAGCGGCTCGGAACTGCTCAGCTTTGGAATTTCAGGGTCACTCTGTACATCTGTTCGCGGATTTGTCCCCAGTTACAATTGCCAAACGTCGTACCCTAAGACCCTATCTTCAAATTCTTCAATCGGCTGATATCAAGTACAGATGGGGCTTCCCTTTCAAGCTCTCGTTCTCCTTTCAAGGTCGTCAATTCCAGGCCTCTTCGCCAGCGGATCTTCGGCGTCACTTTCGGGAGCTCAACCTGGAACTGCCACAATCCCAGAGTGAGGAGACTTCGATCCCTACGCGTCTTCACAATTCCCAGTCTTCGCGTAAATCTCCTCCTAGTCAAAGTAGTTCCCAGGCTCTCAGATCCCTACAGGCTCAGCGTTTTCAGGAAGTCTCCGCGACATGATGTTTAGAGGCTGGCCGCCAGTAGCTGGCTTTGTTCCATGTGGATTTTTGCTGCCATTTTCTAGATTTGACTCTAGATTTGTTCAGGGATTTCATACCTCCGTGTGGTTTATCTCTTCCAATCCAGAGTGGATGTTTCTTTTCTCCGCACTGATTGGTTGAGATTTCTATTGTCCTGCGAGTTTCAGATTACTTATTCACAGGTGTATTAGCCTTAGTTGTCTGTATAATATTTTTATATTTTATATTAATGCCGAGTTGTTCCGGTGGATGGTCGTGTCCCCCATCGAGCTGGCTAGCGGTATGGTCTTCTGTCCTGCCCGCTACCTAGCCTTTATGTGGGTGTTTTACCCACAGTTGATTACTATATTGTTTGAATTGATATCAATGCTTCACAGATATCTTGCTTGTATATCAGATGTCTTCTGGTCTTCTCTTCTCTTTTTCGTCTCTTTCTCCTTGTCGTTTGTTATGTGTGTTTTGTGTTTTTATAATTTTTTATTCCAGGGCTCCCGGGGATCGCGGCGGATTTAATCTTCCTTTTTTTAGATCACCATGTCGTTGAACTGGTTATCACTGAATGTCCAGGGGATGAACTCTCCGCAGAAACGGGTAAAGATATTTAAGTTTCTCCGGGCTCGCCAAGTTGACATTGCTTGTTTGCAAGAAACTCACTTCTCCACTACCTCTGCCCCAAAATATTTTGATGCACGTTACCCTCAGATATTTCAAGCTACTGGCCCCACTAAACAGAGAGGAGTACTGGTCGCCTTCCATAGTAAAACTCCATTCGTCTGTGTGAGGCGTATTGCTGATCCCAATGGCAGATACCTTCTGCTCCAGGGCACGATCCATGGCATAGATGTTACCATACTGTCCTACTACGCTCCCAATGTTAATCCTGGACCTTTTCTGTCGCACCTATGTTCTCTCCTGGCTACACATCAAAGGGGTACGCTTTTGATGGCAGGGGATTCAAACCTAGTGCTAAATCCTGCATTGGATAAATATCCAGCGGAGTGCTCTGGCCCTTCCGCATCAGCGAAGTCCTTTGCACGTACGTTAAATTCTCATGGTCTGGTAGATTTATGGCGTGAATTTCATCCTCGGGGGAAAGACTACACTCATTATTCACACCCCTCATCATTCGCATTCCAGAATTGATCATGCCTTCGTTTCACGTAAACACCTCCCTTTAGTTTGCTCTATTTCTATCTTAACGGTCCCATGGTCAGATCATGAGCCTATCTTGGTGGTCTGTCGATCTCTCCTATGTAGGCTGGCCTTCTCTTCGTGGATAATGAATGACTCCTTGCTTTCGTTAAAGGAGATCCAGGCGGAACTACATCGTAAATCTCAGGAATATTTCCAATTGAACTTGGGTTCTGTCTCTTCTTCAGTAACAGTGTGGGAAGCGTACAAGGCAGTTCTTAGGGGACATATTATCCAAATAGCTTCAAGGCGAAAAAAGGAAAGACAGCTTCAACAGTGTCAGTTGGAATCGAAGTTAGCTTCTGCGTCGGCCCAATTTAAACAATCACCTTCCCCGTCAAACCGTAGACTGTTGGATCAGGCTCGTTTAGAATTGGATCTTTGCTTAACGGATGAGGCTGAGCGCTCCTTACGATGGACTCGCCAGAAGTGGTATAGCAAAGCAAACAAACCAGACTCTATGTTGGCCCGTAGATTGCGTTCTTTTGCACAGCATCCTAAACCGATATCTTTACGTACTCGTCACAATACTCTTACAAGCAACCCTGTAGCGGTTTTGGAAGAATTCCGGCACCGACTAGCTAAACTTTATTCTGATCCCACCCGGGCCGACCCTCAGTCCATTTCTGACTTTTTATCTCGTCTGCCCCTGCCTACTTTAAACGTCAGCCCATAAGGATTTGATGGATCGTAATTAGAGATGAGCGAAGTATTCAAAAATTCGATTCGGCTGATTCGGCGAATTCGAGGAATAAATTCGATTCGAGGCGAATATATTCGCTGCGAATTTAACTTATAAAAAGGGTGTTTCTAGGCTTCAGAGAGCCTTTATATTAGTGCAGAACACTGTACCTTTAATTTAAATGCCCTTGGAGTCTGCTGGGGAAGAGAAATAATACTGTCAGTCAGTATGACATGCAGATGAGTGCCGTCGATCTTAGAATCACCGCACACTTCACTCATTTGGGCAGTCACGGGGCCAAAACCAGAGTGTGGAGCCACAGTGTGGCGGTGGAGGCAGCAGCAATGGGAGGCCATACAGCACCCTATGACAAAATGGAACCCACCAGCAGTGTGAGGAGACCTGAAAGTGGCACATGGCAGAGTGTGGCGATGGAGACAGCAGCAATGGGAGGCCGTACAGGGACCCATGAGACACTCTGGACCTGGCAGCAGCATGAGGAGGCGGTACAGGGGCCCATGACAGATTACGGGCCTGGCAGCAGCATGAGGAGTCGGTACGGGGGCCCATGGCAGATTACGGGCCTGGCAGCAGCAATGGGAGGCCCATAATCTGCCAGCACCCTATGACAAAATGGAACCCACCAGCAGTGTGAGGAGACCTGAAAGTGGCACATGGCAGAGTGTGGCGATGGAGACAGCAGCAATGGGAGGCCGTACAGGGACCCATGAGACACTCTGGACCTGGCAGCAGCAAGAGGAGGCGGTACAGGGGCCCATAGCAGAGTGGCGAAGCGTAAGCAGCTTAAATTGAAGGCCATACAGAGGCCTATGTTAAAAATAATAACATGTTTGGGGCATGATTCATGGCGGATTTGTCAGTTGTGTCAGGAACTGGTGGTTTGAAATCCAGACTAATCCACGCCTGATTCATTTTCACAAACCTGAGTCTCTCCACACTTTGGGTGGACAGTCGTGTCCTCCGCGGAGTTACAATACCTCCTGCCGCACTAAACACGCGCTCCGATGCCACGCTACTGGCCGGGCATGACAGCCTTTCAAGGGCAAATTCAGCTAGTTGGGGCCAAAGGTCAAGTTTCGTTGCCCAGTAGTCAAGGGGATTGTCTACCTCGGTTGGCAGGGTGCTGTCCAAGTAGGCCCAAGCCTGTTGTTTGAGGTCCTGCTCCAGGTCCACCTGATGCTGCTGCTGCTGCTGCAGCTGGTTAGTAGTTTCCTCACTGCGCTGGTGAAGAAAGCTACTCATCATCGACTGCAGACTGAGGCAGCCGCTGCTGGTGGAGCTGCCACTGCTCCTAACACCCCACCCCACCCCTCCCCTGCTGCCATGGCAGCGGAACGCGAGCGCACAGGGCCCACAGTGTCTGAGGATGGACGTTGGCGCAGAAAGGCAGAGACCAACTGACTACATAGGTGGTTTTTATAGTACGTTATTTTGGCCTCCCTCTCAGCAGGTGTGAAAAAGGCCACCATTTTTGAACGGTAGCGAGGGTCCAACAAGGTGGACAGCCAAAAGTCATCGCTCTGTCTGATGGTTATTATTCGGCTGTCGCTACGCAAGCAACCGAGCATGCTATGGGCCATTTGTGCCAAGGAATGCGAGGGACTCCCTGCCTCCATCTCCACAGCATACTGCCACGGTGCGTCTGGGTCCTCTGTCTCCTCCTCCTCCTCTACCAGATGCTCCTGCTCCTCCACTCCTGTCCGCTGAGTGGAAAAACCACCCATTTCACTCAATAATTCCTGAGCACCAATGTCCTCCTCTACCTCCTCCTCTTCTTCCTGTCCTGCCCCCACAGGGGTCATGTGGCGTTGAGATCTGTGCGCCACGTCTACCGCACCCTGACCAGCCATTGTTAACAGCATTTGTTCCAGGACGTGCAACAGAGGAATGACGTCGTTCATCCCATAGTCCTGCCGACTCACGAATAGCGTGGCCTCCTCAAAGGGCCTGAGCAAGCGGCAGGTGTCACACATGAGCTGCCAATGGCTGACATCTAAGTTACACAGGGGAGTACCTTTATCCGCTTGTAACATCAGGAAATCGGTGATGGCCTTTCGCTGTTCGTAAAGGCGGTCTAACATATGTAGGGTTGAATTCCACCTTGTTGCAACGTCGCAGATCAGGCGATGCTGTGGAATTCCGTTTTGCCGCTGCAGCTCAAGGAGGGTGTGCTTTGCGGTGTAGGAATGGCTGAAATGCATGCAAAGTTTACGTGACATTTTAAGGATGTCTTGCAGTGGGATGGTGGATTTTAGGAACCGCTTGACAACCAGATTGAACACGTGAGCCATGCATGGCGCATGGCACAACCTTCCTTGACGCAGAGCAGACACCATGTTCTTTCCGTTGTCGGTCAAACCCATGGTTCCGATTTTCAGTTTGCGCGGAGACAGCCATCTGTCGCTTTCTTCTGTTCATTACACTCAGAAGTTCCTCCCCTGTGTGACTACGTTCGCCAAGGCATACCAGGTGCAGCACAGCGTGACACCGTTGCGCCCTGCACATGTGATATGCCGGTCGGGTAATGGGACTTGGCACGGGGGTGGCGGCTGAGGACACGGCGGAAGAAGAGGTGGTAGAGGCGGACATCTTTTCTGGACCAAGGACGTGCAAACGTGGAGGCAAAAGCGGCGTGACCTGTCCAAGTTGCTGGTGCGGCTGTGCCGGCACCACGTTCACCCCAGTGGGCCGTAAATGACATGTACTGTCCCTGACCGTAGTTACAGCTCCACACGTCGGCGCTGCCGTGCACTTTGGCAGAGACCGACATGCTCAAAGACTGGCCCACCATCTCTTCTACATGTGAATGCAGGACTGGCACTGCCTTTTTGGCGAAGAAGTGCCGGCTTGGCACTCTCCACCGCGGCGCGGCACAAGCCATCATTTCTCGGAAAGGTGCTGAGTCCACCACTTGGAAAGGGAGGGACTGCAGCACCAGCAACTTGGACAGGAGGACGTTCAGCTTTTGCACCGTCGGGTGCGTGCTCGCAAACTGTTGTGTCTCTTGGAAACGGATTCCAAGAAAGACTGCTGACGGAATCCGTGAAGAGGAGTAGCAGGAGAAGGAGCATCTGAACGAGCGGAAGATGCCAACGAGCGACAACTCCCCTCAGCAGAGGTGTTGGAGCCTTGACTGGCTGATAGAGGGTGATTGACGTCGGGTGACGGAGCAAGTAACGGAGCGGGTGATGGAGCGGGGGCTGGGGCAGGCAGAACCGCCGTATCTTTATCACGGTTTTCCCAGGCCACCGAATGGCGACGCTGCATATGCTGACGCAACGCTGTAGTCCCAACATGGGCCCCCTGGCCACGCTTGACTTTCTGGCCACATAGTCGACATACGGCGGCTACGTTTACTTCCTCGGGCGGCTTGACGAAAAATTGCCACACCGCCGAGTAGGAAACTTTGCCCCCGATACTTCCTCCTCACTGGCTGACTGCTACTTCCTCCGTGCACACCGGCACCACTACTGGCCGTGGTGGTAGGCTGCAGTGGAGCTGGTGCTCTACTCCATGGCCGTTTGCCTCCACTGACACTGCTGCGACCCTGCTGCCTCCTGGGCAACCCACCGACTGTTTTGCTCGCTGCCAAGCTGGCACCCTCTTCTCTCTGATGATGCGGAAGCAATAGCCTGATGACGACGACGAGGCTGCCAAGTGCGATCAGCCTCATCATCATCATCAATTAGGGTCTCCCGCCTCACTACTAGCCCCCTCGGCTGCGTGTGGGTCAGGAGACAGACCTGTCTCTAGACCGGGCTACCGAGCCACTCTCCTCGCCAGTACTTCTTCGCCTGGCTGCTGAAGAGGCGGATGTCTCCCCCCGTTCCTGACCGCCCTCTGTTAGCTCTTCCTCACTGTACAGTGGGGCTGAGCCCACAGCATGCGATACTTTGCTTGGTGAGGGAACACCAAAGGACAGGGGTAGGTAGAGGACACGTGATTTCAGTGGGCTTGCTCCCGGGCCATGCCAACTAACGGTTGGTCTGACGTACCCACCGACCGTTGGCTGTAGGTGTCAGAGGTGACCTGGGAAGAGGAAGACGACCGAGCCAACCAATCGATGACGGCAGGGTTGTCGGTGGAGACACGACCGCTGGATGACACCGGGAGCACTGGCCTCTGGCTGCGACTAGTGCTGCCTCGACCCCTTCCTCTGCTGCCACGTCTGCTCGCTCCTGAAACATTGCCTCCTCTGCCACTCCTCTGCGTGTTGTCTGACATACTCTTTAATTCAACGATTCTGTGTCCCTGAGTAACGATTCTGTGTCCCTGAGTAACAATTCTGTGTCTGTCCCTGAGCAACAAACTCAATTCTGTGTCCCTCAGTAACAATTCTGTGTCCCTCAGTAACAATTCTGTGTCCCTCAGTAACAATTCTGTGTCTGTCCCTGAGTAACAATTCTGTGTCCCTCAGTAACATTTCTGTGTCCCTTAGTAACAATTCTGTGTCCCTCAGTAACAATTCTGTGTCTGTCCCACTGAGTAACAATTCTGTGTCCCTCAGTAACAATTCTGTGTCCCTCAGTAACAATTCTGTGTCTGTCCTGAGTAACAATTCTGTGTCCCTGAGTAACAGTTCTGTGTCCCTGAGTAACAATTCTGTGTCCCTGAGTAACAGTTCTGTGTCCCTGAGTAACAATTCTGTGTCCCTCAGTAACAATTCTGTGTCCCTCAGTAACAATTCTGTGTCCCTCAGTAACAATTCTGTGTCCCTCAGTAACAATTCTGTGTCTGTCCCTGAGTAACAATTCTGTGTCCCTCAGTAACAATTCTGTGTCCCTCAGTAACAATTCTGTGTCTGTCCCTGAGTAACAGTTCTGTGTCCCTGAGTAACAATTCTGTGTCCCTGAGTAACAGTTCTGTGTCCCTGAGTAACAATTCTGTGTCCCTCAGTAACAATTCTGTGTCCCTCAGTAACAATTCTGTGTCCCTCAGTAACAATTCTGTGTCTGTCCCTGAGTAACAATTCTGTGTCCCTCAGTAACAATTCTGTGTCTGTCCCTGAGTAACAATTCTGTGTCCCTGAGTAACAGTTCTGTGTCCCTGAGTAACAATTCTGTGTCCCTGAGTAACAATTCTGTGTCCCTAAGTAACGATTCTGTGGCCCTAAAGTCTCTTTGGCCCTAACTCTGTCCCTAATACAGAGAGGTCTGTCTCTCTTGAATGACCGGAGGCTAATGGAGAATTCTAAGATGGCCGCAATTTATAGCTCGACCATTACACAGTGCTGGCTGGCTGGCTGCTGATTGGCTAATGCGATCACATGTCATGAATGAATGCATTATGGGTCAGCGCGCCTTGTCTGCGCTCCTTCCCAGAGATCCTCGCTCCGTCGCCACACATGTCGCTGCCATTTTTGGAAAATTTCGATTCGCACATCCGAAGTCTGCTAATTTTCGGATTCGGCGCGAATCGAATTTTTCCTAATCTTCGAAACGAATTCCACTTCGCTAAGTTCGATTCGCTCATCTCTAATCGTAATATTCAAGTATCTGAGGTTTTGCAATGCATAGCAGACCTGAAAATGGGCAAACACCCTGGTCCCGATGGATATACGGCACTATACTATAAGAAATTAGCTGATGTACTCGCTCCTCACCTTGCCGCTATGTTTAATGTGGTGAAGGGAGGTTCGAATTTTTCCCCGGACTCGTTAACTGCTAATGTGGTTATGATCCCTAAACCGGATCGAGATCACTCTTCCTGGGCAAACTATAGGCCTATCTCTCTTATCAATATCGACATGAAGATTCTT